GTGGTGCTAAAATTAGTAGTTTTAGTTTGTGCATGTGTTTTATTTAATTTGGCAAAATAAAGGGTGGGTCACCCTCTGGCAGTCCCCAGTTTAGTAACCTGAGAGCCAGGAACCACACAGCTTTTGAGCACTTTCTACTTATTGGGGGAGGGATTAATGTTTCCTTTGGGGGAATCAGAGACACATCTCTTGCCACTGTGACAAAACGTGGCAGAATGAGCAAACATTAATTTATTATTTATTTTCACCAAAATGATGATGTAACAAGAACAACAAACAGAAGTGGGGGTGAGGGCAATTAGCCACAATCTGTAACTCATCCTTGTTGCGTATCACCTTTTTTGCCCACTTGAATATGCATTTTTGCATTAGTTGTAATTCCATTGTATGAGCTACTTTGCTTTTTTTTTTCTTTTTCTTTTTTGGTGGCTGGCCTATACGGGGATCTGGACCCTTGACCTTGGTGTTACAAGGCTGCGTTCTAACCAACTGAGCTAACCGGCCAACCTTTGCTTTCTTAATATTCTTCCATATTCTGGGTTTCACCATCACCATTTTGGATGGCTATATAGTGTTCTGTGGAATGAATGTGTCAACATTACTTAGCTGCTTCCCTAAGATCGTTTCCAATTTTCACAGTATCCTGAATGACGTCATGTACACTTCATCCTGACCCCTCTCTTCTGTGGGGTCAGGGGACTCTATTGAATCATTCCCTTAGAACACATTATTCAGGAGTGGATTCAGTAGGTGGAAAGGTCTGGATCTTTTTTTTTTCTTTTTGGTGGCTGGCTGGTGCTGGGATTCAAACCCTTGACTTTTGTGTTACAAACCAAACTCCAACCAACTGAGCTAACTGGCTGGCCTGGATCTTTTTAAGACTCTTGAACCACAAGACAAAAATTGTTTTACAAAAGGGTTGGATCGGTTTACACTCCCCTGCAGCATGTGGCATATACAAGATATCTAGCTGACCTGGGACTGGTTTTTGCTGCGCTCAGGAGCAAAATATGAAGGAATGGCATGTGCCCTGTCATCATGAATACTCCCAGCCTCAGGTGAGCTGCCCTGCAAATTGCATCAAATTCCTCCTTTTTGTCCTCATCTCCTGCGCTGTCCACTACACACATGTCATTCTGGATATTGCAAAAACTGGAAACTGTCTAGAGAAGCCGTTAAGTAAATGGTGGCACATGCATTCTACAGAACACTGTGTTGCCATCCAGAATGGTAACTCAAAAGACAAAAAATATTAACGTAAAATGAAGCAGCTGGTACATTGGAATTGCAACTAATGCAAAAATGTACACTCACTCCGTGGGCTCCATCCACCCCCTTCTTCCAAGCCTTTGCCATTCTCTCTGCCAGGAATGCTTTTCTAGCCAGATCTTTGCGTGGCTGGCTTAGTTTTCATCTTCCAGATATTGGTTTATGGGGTGTTTTCTGAACAACCAGTTCTCTGATTATCTGGACACAAACTGGGTGTTCACCAGTCAGTTCAGTTCTGACACTTACTCCAGAGTTACATCAGCCCACACAGGTTAAGGGCTCAGTCCTATCAGACACTTCAAATGCCAGCTGCAGTGGGGTGCCCAGACTACCCACACTTCTGTCCAACCGAGTACAAATTTGGAGGTCCTCACAACCCCCTCAGTTTGATAATTCACTAGAACAACTCACAGGACTCAGGAAAACACTTTGCTTACTATTGCCTGTGAAATTTAAAGGACACAACTCAAGAACAGCCAAATGGAAGAGATGCAAAGGGTGAAGTGTGGGGGAGGGGCTGGCACAGAGCTTCCAAGCCCTCTCCAGGCCCACCACCCTCCCACCATCTCAATGTGTTCACCAACCAGGAAGCTCTCCCAATGCCTTTTTCTAGGGATTTTAATGGAGGCTTCATTACGGAGGAATGATTGATTAAATCATTGGCTGTTGGTGATTAACTCAACCTCAGCCCCTTTCCCCTCTCCAGAGGTCGGCAGAGGGGAAGAGGTGGATGGGGCTGAAAGTTCCAATCCTCTAATCCTGCCTTGGTCTTTCTGACACTGCCCCCCCCCCCCCCCCCCCTCCC